AAAAAAAAAAAAATGAAGGTGCTCGAATAAAAATAATAATTATTATTTAGTAATTTTTCAATTAATACTATAACTGTTTGCTCGCAGGAGGACAAATGTAAAAACTGTCCTAAAATTTTTAAGCGGGGATATATCGATCCAAAAAACACAGCAAAGAATGTATATTACTGAATCGACCTGCCGTTCTTTATTCCGAAAGTTAATAGCCACTTGAAATGCTGTTATGTTAATAAATGTTAATAGCCATTTAATTAGCTTCCTTCAACGTTCGTATTTCACGTTTCCGCATTTGTATTTCAAATTGACGGTCGAAACGTGCCCACAAAATTACTTTAGCCACGAGAATAAGAGAACAAACGAACCGTTTGATTTTGAAAAAGTAAAAAGTTCGCGCATATGGTCTGTCAATCCATATAATTTAGAACTATATATTCGTCATTGTAATGCACTATTTAGACCACGTGTTTATCATTGAAATCATGGATTGATCGCTAAGCTTGGGAAGAAGATAAAAATGTTTTGGTGGCTTACCTCGTCTTGGGAATGATCACACATGCCAGAGGAACCTTTCTTCTGAGCCACTTTTGTATGATTGATAGATATCGTGAATACACGCACATTTGGTGTAAAAATCTTATCGCAATATGTTCGCAAGTTGTCGTTACGTCATTGGAATGGATTTAAACGGTTGCAGTTTACGGTTGTACCTTCCCATAGAACTGCAATTTTGATTCGAATTATGCAAAAGATAATACAACTGGTCGCTCGATAATACATCACTATTCGTATCTCAAGTGAAATACAGGGGAAGTTTTAATAATTTCAGAAACGATTGTCAGGCTTACCGATGGACCCCTTTGATTCTATTTCCTTCACTTTCACCGTCAATCTCTATCGAAATGATCCCAAGTCCAGGCATCGTTGAAGAAATTTCATTAAGCTTCTTAACACGTTTCTATCATCGTAGCGAAGCAGCTTCTCGCGAACAGCTGCATCCAGATACATCGGCATGATCGTTACACCTGAAAGATCGTTTCTTCTTCGGAGTTCGACCGGGGGGTTTCTTCGACGAGGCAGCAAATATCAGGCCGTCCGCGAACGAGGGTGTGTTTCTTGACGTTCCTTGCCCTTCACAAGCGAATATCTCGATCGGCGAATTCGCAGTTCGAAATTTTGTTCCTACTGAGCTTTGAAAGATTTTCACCGCAGTAAAATCGAATCAGTTTGCTTATCTCCTTTTAAAAAATACTTTCAGTCTAAAACTAAACGATATAAGTATGTACAGACGTGTGTGTGTGTGTATATATATATATGTATGTATATATATATAAATGTATGTATGTATATATGTACATATATCCTCTGTGATCTTTGTACGAAGTTGGCGATGGTCTATCAGGAAAATTTCGTCGATCTTTCAATTTGACACAGTTTAACGGCTCACTGAACGCCTCAATTCGACGTCGTCTAACGTCAGGAAGGTTTCAATTCAGTGCACTTCAATGTAACGAAGTTGTCGTTTCGATGCATTTTAATGAGAGGGTGGTGCTCCGAGCCGAGTTTCTCGCTGTCCTCGCTTCCCCGTGCCCGTCACCTTCATCTCCGTGTTTTCGAAAACAGGTCAGACTTGACACCGCGTCAATTCCATCCGGTGGTTTCCTTTCCACGGGCGAGACACCCTTCTGTTCAATTCCCTGCAGGGATGCCAGCCGATCGAACTCACCGAACAACTGCATAAACGAAACTTGGTCGTATGCCAAAAATCGCAACTGATCATCATCAGGTCCGCGTGTCACGTCATTGCGGCTGTTCACACTTTGCCACTGGTCCACGAACAACGTGATATTCGAACATCGGGGTCGAAACGTGATATAATATATCGATGCAACTAGCAAACGATGGCACAACGGTGGTGGCGAGGGCCTTAGAATTCGAAGGCGGCAGAACTTGTTCCTGACATGACGAGACACAGAGCGACGAGAGCAACGTGACGAGAGGCAGCGTTTGTCGTTTTGGACCAGTTCGAACTGATGGTAAAGATGATAGTCCGGGGAACGGGAGCAGAGTCATCAGAGGGTGTACAGTCTTCTTTTCCTCATGTTCTCCAGGTGGCCACGTGGGGACCGACGTCAGTCCCCAATTCCCGGACTGATTTTCGAGGCAGTGACGAGGCGTTGCCGTTGCCGTGGCCGTGGCTGGGATTCTAGCGGAATGCATACAAGGGCCGTAGGCAGCGAGGAAACGAGAGGAGGAGAGACGAGAGAATCTGGTCGATAGACGCGGCGGTGCGCGCCCGCGCTCACCGTCTCTTCTGCACCTCCGCGATACCTCGCCACGGGACAGTTAACAGCCGTTTCCTCTCGCTTTGGTCCAGCAGCGGCTTAATAGCCCACCAAGACGGACAGCTAATCTATCTAATCGCGAAAATGAGTCCTCGCGAATCTCACTCGTTCAACAATCGTCAGAATCATTCATCTAGGTCGACAGAGAACTGGTCGAATGGACCTTTGATCGAGAACGCTTGATTCGCGATCGATTTGCACGTTGCTTTCCCATTGATTTTTACGTGTTATATTGACGGACTGATTTCAATCGATTCCTTAGTTCTGCGTCGATTTCGTCAACTTTGTCGTCAATCGAGATTTCAAATATTTCATGATTCTTTTGATTCGGAAAATAACGTCGTTTCACTTTGGAGAGAGAATTGATTTCGAAGTTATATTATTAAACGTTTCTGTTACATATCGCATCTTTGAAAAAAATGAAATTTTTCTTTTGATAAGTGCGTCAATATCTTTGTACGTTTAATGTGCTGTAACGAAGGCAATATAACTAATTACTTTATTGGACATAAGATGTAGCAATTTTTTTCTTCTTTTTCTTTTATCTTTCATTATATTTCCGGTACTGTCAGTTTTTTATAACGGAACCGTGAATTATCTCGAATATGATACACGCATTTGGGATACAGACGTTTTCTTTTTTACTATAAAAAATTTCCGGTTAGATAACGGAGGAAGTATATGAAAAATTAAGACCTTTGTATAAATTTAAAAATCATTGTCGCTTTCATGTTAAAGCAAAAATTATTTAAGAAATTATTTAAAGAGATTATGCCATTAAATGGAATTGAAGCGTGATTGAACGAACATTTTAATTGGATAACAAAACTAATCTGTGGAAAGTGAAATACAAAAGCATTCTTATTTTAATATTAGACACTTTTCCGAATATCTTGTCTTAATATTTTGCATCGAGTTTGAGATTTTTATAATTAATTGTCATTGATCTATCTACCTCCCATCGATAGTGTAATATATGTTGATTAGATGGTGACTCTGCACCACAGACTGCACAGTTGGTATAATAGGGATGCACATCTGTGTCGGCGCACGTCTTTTCCGGCCATGGTAATAAGGTCGTATACCTTACCATTTTAGTGTCACATCCTGTTGTACCGATTTTGCGACCGCAGCACTGCTAGTAGCGAAAATTAAAATTAAAAAAATATGAACAGTGTTGCCAGCTGTTTCGAGAATTATTTGTTGAATTGAATGGTACTTCATCAATGAAGGAATATAAACAGTAAATTTAAAACAGCGACTAATGGAAATTGGGATGAAAAATTTAGTACATATTT